CTCTCTCTCTCTCTCTCTCTCTCTCTCTCTCTCTCTCTTGACCTTACAGCAAATACACGCACACCAATAACCAACCAACCAACTCACTACAGCTACTATAGCTATACAGACAGCAACTCGACACCCAACCCCTCAACCCCTAACAAAATCGCCCATACACATACTACACTACGTACTAAATTCAGCTATTCCAATAACAATCAGTTCTCTACCTTCTCTTCAACCCGTCACAGCAAAGAAGTGTTATGTGTTATGTTATGGATTCAGGGCGCGCAAGGCAGTAATCTGTTCGACGCGGAGGTTCCTCTACTGTTCTTTCCTCCACTGCTGTTTCGGTCTTACCATCGTCTCCTGCCACAAGACAAGTGGTATAAATCCCGCACCGCCATCTCCCCATCCCTACCCTCAAGCTACCTCCGCGCAGGACAGGACTGCAGCGACAACGGCAATGATTGCTGTGGCGACTGCGGCGACGATTGCGGCGGCACCATCTGCAACGATTGCGCGTACGGCAGGGCACAAGTTCGCGCGTAGTGAAACCGGTCAGCTGGCTGGGTTTGGGGTAAGTTTCCTGGGTGGGTGACGATGCTGGTTTTCGTCGTCGTGGTTGCGGGATGCTGGGGTTTGGCTGCGGTACGGGGTGGTGGCGTGTAGCTGCTGGTGGTGGTGGTGGTGGTGGTGGTGGTGAAATGTGGTGGTGAATGTGTTGTGTCGGTTCTGGGTTTGGCTTTTGGCTTTCTGTTGTTTTTGCGTCGAGGTGAAATTGAGTGTTTTTGACCCCCATGTTGTATGTGCACGACGGTCTTGATGCCGCATAAGTGTTGCTAGTCAAGTTTTGTTCGGATGACTTAAGCTCGAATGAGGAGGTAGTTATAGCGGCGAAGGAGTGCTGTGGATAGGTCGAAGTCTGTTGTATATGGGGCGCAGTAGCTTTTTGAGAATGTTTTGGTTTCAAGTGTTGGGATGGTGAATTTGTGTTGTAAAGTGTTTGGTCTAGGCAAGTCGATAGTTATCTGTCACTAGCTCAGTGATGGTTTCTGCCAATCTCTATAATTCTTTTCTTATGTTCCGTTGTAATTGCTTAAAGACACAAACACATGGATTCGTAGAAACATTCAAATCTATTCTTACACAAGACACCTTTCACCGATCAAACAGAACCTCGCGGCTCACCCAAGGCCTCCTAAGTTGCAGTTTGGTACTCATGAAAGATATTGGTATTTTCACGAAGCGGTTGTCTGCAGCTATATTCGAAGTATCTCAGCCAATAATTTCCCCCTAGATTATAGTGATGATTTCCTTTTCCTTTTCTAAGAAAAATTGGACTGACTGAAAAGCAAGAACTTGATCAGGATCATCATTCCATTCTATTTCACCAGAACCTTCACCTTCTGACCCGATCTCCTGTGGATTATCGTCCATAGAATCCTTGTTCAACAAACCACTGCTTTCTGAATCCTTGGTACCCAATCCCGCTTCCTCCTCTTGTGCCTCTTTTGGATTGATGCCTCCCCTCCAGGGACTTTCTGGGCTCTCGGCTTCCAACAACGTGTCTCCCAAGAAGCTTCCATGGTCCGAATCGGTATTTTCAAAGAAGTATTTCTCAGCCGGTCTCAAAATCCTAAATATGCCAAGCCTCGTGTAGCAACTCGGGTCCCGTTCATTGCTGAGGCATAGTACCAAGCCTAACAAGACATCTTTGACGCCTAAGCTGGAGTTCGAAAGGGCAATAGGAACAAGAAACACATTGTGCGTCACCCCTGAAGTTACCGCTTCGTAAGTATCGGCGATAAACAACAACTTCATCTCTTGGCCAAATTCCTCAACCCAGAGCACAAGGTCGTAATGCCGTTGACCATCCTCAGGGGGAGCATCTTCAAGGGGACCATCCTCTGGGCGTGCATCATCAGGAAAACTTTCCATGAAGTAAGATGCCTGGACCACTGCCGCCCGAATCCTCAGCGCCGTCGGTGTGTTCTGGCTTGCGCTAGGCGTTTTATAAAAAGTCGGTACATCCTGTTGGACATCGATCATTTCCGCTACAACGTGATCGGCTTTTAACTGATGAAAAGGTGTTGAGGCTTTAGAATCGATGGCTCCAAGGCTAAAAGGTTCAATTGTCCCGTCCATACTGGCCCAGCTCCATGTCGGCGCTCTAGAGATGTTGGGCGCTCGCACAGCACTCGCTTGCTTCCATAACAAGCTTTCTGGAAGTTCCTTGCGAAAGAATCCCAATAAGTACTCGTCGTCTTTTAGAGCTGCCACACGCTCTGCCACACCAGCTAGAGCATGAAATTTATCTTTGTCGGGGAAGGTCAGGTTGCGACTCGTGTAATCCCTGACGACAGTGTCCCACTCCTTCCGTAGTCTGAGGGAGTCATGGTACATCTCTTTATCGGTAGATGCATTTTGTGAGACAGAGAAGCTGAAGCAGGGTGGAATGCTCAGCCCGTCTTTGTTTCTCCAATGGAAGCCCTCTGGGAGCATCTCGCAGCACGTCGGACCCTCGACGCATTCCCACCAGATCTGCTCCTCAGCGAAATGCAGAACCCGAGGCGCCAGTAACCGCTCCTGCAAAGTCCAGGCGCGGGAAAACAGAGGTTGGGTATAAAGCTGTCGTTCTGCCATATCTGCGTCGACCAAGGCAAATGCTTTAGTCCCGTCCCCAAACTGATGCCATCTTTCGGTAGTTAGGCGAGTTGAAGCCGACTCGCGCTTCCTGAAAAAGCCCTGATGCGGAGAGGTTGCACATGCTGAAGAAATGCTGACAATTCCATTCGCATATATTGAAGCCATGGCCGTGGCGTGAAATTTCCAGTCTTCATCGCTGCCTTCACCGGATTGGAGAATGCACAGAGAATCAATCCAGAGATAGCCGACTTGCAGCCAGTTGCAGACTTTAGTCGCTTGTGCGAAAGACTTGGGCAGCTGCGCTTGCGGTATTCCGGCTTGTAAAGTCGAAATATTTCCGGTGTTGAGAGTCAGAAAATTGGGATCTTTGCCCCAGCAATGGCTGAGCGTGACATAAGGTCCTTTTGGTGGATCCATTTCAGTTAAGATCAAACGTGGACGGTCTCCTGTCAAGTCCAGCAACCTCTTAGGATAATAATGTTGGTCGCGCCCCGTATCGCAGAATTGGTGCATTTCAAGGCATCTGTGGAACATCTGAGATGCGCGGGCGCTGGCTTTACTGTTTCCTGTATACGTATATGCTGAATGATTTTCGGGTTGTAGGGTGCTCTGTGTTATTTTAGACCTTGAGTATCTTCTTCGCTTGGAGGGTCTGTGTATATAGCCATGGTCTTTTAAATCGTTGCTGTAAATCTGCTCCGGCAAAGGAATAAACCGAAGAGTCAAACCGATATATTCTCCGATATCCGATCCAGAATGGGAAATATACAGTGTGTGATCATCTCTTATATTGCCGTAGAGAAAATCGAAATGTGGTTCATCAGTCTGTGAGTTTTCTCTGGTCCCGACCTCCCATCTCTGCAGAAGAAGTTTGCAAATGGGGCAACCGGTCTCGGCCGCGGCCTTCAGGTGGCCATAACGAGTGTGTTGTAATCCTCTCTGTACACGGCCGTGAAGCATGGAATTACATCGTTCACAAAATTGCATTTTAATGCTTAGGTTCTTTTCATAGTACAGTAGCTACATTTTCAGAGGAATGAAACACCAATCAGCATACTTATTTTGTAAGACTGGCGACCTTGTAGGATCTACTACTGAAGAGACTGACCTTATGGGTTCGCTCCCTGTCCTGGTGCGGACGCTTTCGAACAATGATTTGGGGCTCTTGAGGCAAGCCTCATGAAAAACATCAGATGGATTCAGTTGTGGTCTGGTTTCCAAAAGGTACATTCGAAAGTTGAACGTCTTATATAGCCCCGCACTCGCGGCCCACTTGAACTGCATGACAGACGTGTCGTGCCCTGGCCCTTGTGAGGCCTGACTAGGGTTCGACATCATCTAGCCCCTCTGTGGGTCCAATGCAGCTCCTCTTTCGTAATCCACCTAGCCAGGATAAATCGTCAAGACAGTGATGAGCTGAAGCTGTAGGTTTACTGAAGTTAATGGTACTGAGGGGCGAAGAATTTTAATCGATGATAAATTTTGTTTGGCCAGGCTTGATGCGACGGGTCTTGATACATATCCTCAAGCTTCTGGACTCCGATCGATCCACGCTGTATTCCCATCCCTGTCCGAAAACGGGAACTGGAAAACCTCATCAAGAGACGAATACGGCGCATACTCCTCATCGGAAAGCAGACGACTAATGTTCTCGGCAAGGCGACCGGTGCGATTGAAGCCGGGCCCAAAGTTCTGGTACTCGGCCTCGAGCGTGTAGTTATTTGTGCGCGGATCGGTGCTTCCCCAGGTGGTGTAGCCGCTGGGTCTGATGCTGGCGTCGAGATAAGTGTTGGCGAAGATGGAGCGGTGTTGGGCGTTCTGTTTTGAGGATCAGCTTTGTATGACGTGGGAAAGCCTTTGATTTGATCATATCAGAGTAGGAAACCAGTTTATAGCACCCGAAGGATAGGGAGAACAAATATGGCAGCCGAGTCGGCAAAAAATATGAAGAGCAAACTTACCCAAGGCCTTCCTAACGAGCATTCTCCTTCGATCGAAAGCGAATCATTTGCCTTTCTGACTTCCGAATCATGGATGTAAACACCATACTTGTTCTCGAAAGTGGTGTTTGTGCCTTTCCAGGCAGTGATACCACCTCCGCAGTTGCGCAGCGAAAGCAAGCTTGACTGGATCCATGCCGTGCCGAAACCATACAAGAAATCCGTCTGGCCAGCGATAATGCTATTGTCGAAGTAGGCATTGCCGAGCTTGCCCACGTATACCTGTTTAGGAAGTCAGTGATGCTGTCAGACAGTAGATACTGACATATCCTATCCCGACTCTTAACCATAAGGAAAATATAACTCACCGTATCCTGATAACTATAAAACCCACAATAATAAAATCCCGCATTCGCATAACTCACACTCAGCGCCAACGCCGGCCCCGCTGCGACGTCCTTATAATCATTCACAAAGTCCACATTATACGCCGCAAACCCTCCATTTCCAAACGGCGTATCCTCCGGCACCGGATACCCCGTCGGGCCTGTCCCAGTCAAGCTGCTCTCCCACGTCGGCGCCACCGTCAACACGGCCGTGTACGCATTGTCGAAGCTGTTCTCGTCGTTACCCGTCGCCTCGCGCCAAAGTACAGTGACGCCGTTTGCGGATGCGTTGTTCGGGTTGCTGGTCTGCCCGAGCAGCGTCACGGGCCCTGGACGCGTGATGTTGAGCTGTTCGGTGTAGGTGCCGGGAAGGATTAGGATCGTCGCGCTGCTGTTGTCGGCGGGGAGAGAGAGGATCGCGGACTGGATGCTGGTGAAGGTGGTGTTTGAAGTAGTGGTATTGGAGCTAACGAGAAGTGTGTTGGCTGGACAGCCGGTTAGAGGATTGGGAGTCGAGGATTGGCAGGCCGCTCGATTGTAGGAGAGGGGTTTTGCGTGGGAGAGTGGTGTGTGGAGAATGAGAAAGAGGAGATATGATATGAATGAGAGAATAACACCGGTGAAGTGCGCCATGGTGAAGAAAACTGGAATGTAGGGAGCAAAGCACGCATAGCGATCAATTGCGCGTCGGGACCTAAAGTACTTAACACATCTCCTGCAGGGTTGGTAAACCGCGCAGCAGTGGAGAACGCTCCATGCATATCATGAATCGCGATCATCAAGGCGGGATGGAAGCGAATCGCGGGGACGATGATTTCCGGGGAAATTTCCTGGGGCAAGGGTCTTTTAGCCGAACGTGTAGGAGAGACGGGGAACGGATCCCGCCGTAGTTCGCTAATACTTCTATTTCTCCGTCAATCAGATGTCTGACTTTTCTGTAGAAGAGTTAAGCCAAGTCGATGGGCGTTTTTTAAGCCTTTTAATCCGACGACTTCTGTAACGTTGAACTTCATGCATCTCCTATGATATTGAATGTCAAGCGTTTGGTCCTGATAAACACTCACATTGAGTTACTACCCTAATACCCCGATTACAACCGGTTCATCCGTGACTTCTCGCCCATGTTCCCCAGTTAGTTCTGCACATACTTGTCGCTAATGCCCTTCTTGACAGCCGGCCTCTCCGCAATACGATCAATCCACTTCAGAAGATGCGGGAACTGGTCCATCTCCTTCTGCTCGAAACCGCTGTATGGCCACAACTTGACCCACGGCCAAGTACCGATGTCCGCGACGCTGTACTTGCCCTTGCCCTTTCCAGCGAGGTACTCTCTCGGCTCGCCTGAATACTTGCCAGAGAGATGAATCTCAAGCACGCCATAGACACGCAGCGTCTCGTTGCGGAAGCGCTCAATGGCATAGGGAATCTTCTCCTTGGCATATTTGCTGAAGTGGTGCACCTGCCCTTGGTACGGGGCGCCGGAGCCGTGCCAGAAGAAAAGCCACTGCAGCGTCTGACTGCGCTCAAGGTCGTCCTTGAATCCGAAAACATCGTCCTTGTCAAACTCCTTCAGGAGGTACAGCAGCTCTGCTGAGGTCTCCATGACTGGGAACGGGGGGCTCTTTGTGTTGTCGACCAGGATCGGGATGCGGCCGTTCGGGTCCAACCGGAGGAACCAATCCTTCTTTTGCTCGTTGGTTGCGATGTTTATGAGCGTCGTAGTCCATTCGGTGCCGTAGATGGCAGCCAGCTCTTCCAGCATGATTTGGACTTTCTGGCCATTGGGTGTGTTTTGTGTGACGAGGTGGAGACCCTTGGCATTCTTGACGTCGGCGGGCGTGTCGTCGGCGTAGAGATACGACATCTTGGTGGGGATTGAGAGTATATGTAAGTGTCTCTGTGGTTGCTGGTGGACAGTTCGTTTGAGAGATTGTGTTGTAGCTCTCAGAGTTATTCTCGTGCAATTGAACATCCCGAACTTTATAGATGTCGTCGTGTTCCCCAGCGATGATGCAAGCAGTCGCGTCATCGACACAAAGAGACAACAACCCCGCTTTGATTATCAACCAACCCCTCGCTTATCAATCGACGAAAACGTTGGAAGGATGCGGATGCAGCTTTGCAAGCAACTGCTGCTGTTGTGTTCAGGATACGTGGTAGTTACTGAAGGCTTACTACATAGTGGACGAATCACGGACGAATTTAGGCGGGTACTGGGTAGATCTCCGGGTCGGTCCGAGAGTGCCTCCAACGAGACGCCAATCGTCTTCCAAGGACTCTGTGATGCATTTGTACCACCAAAGATGACAGAGACACGTGCTAATCACTGTGTGAACAACGGCGTGCAGAAATAGGGTTTACAGTGACAGGTTTCTACTCTACATCGGTAGGAAGAGTATCATGACCACGTGCACTTGCTAGCCATCTGCGCGCCCCTCGTGGCGTTTTACGTTGATGTCCGACGATTGTCAAATGGCGCTAGTTCGAAATGGCAATGAAAGTATATGTCCAATATCGAACGTATGAAGCCTTGTCACCGGAGGGGGCATCTGAAGCCCTCTGCTGCTGTTGCGGACCTCTGGTGCATCCGAGACCTTCCGAATTACCATTAACCTCGGGTATAAGGTCTTACTACCGGTATGCCTACCGATATATCACCTGCGACTGCTTGCAGGTACCCTCACATCCTTCTATCGGTATGTTTGTCGGTATACCAGTATAGCACTATGTTCAACAATACTGCAAATAGCGCTAGTCAGAAAAGGCAATAAATAAGACCTCGTAAAGTCGGACATAGTGCTTGTTGCCCCAGGGAGCGTCTGGTGCCTCCAGCGTCTCGGATAATGCAAGATGCCGTTTTTAGTTAGCTCCGTGTCAGCAACATTGAACGTAGATAGACAGCTGTACCGGCATTAGCGCATCGAACGTCGGGCGCTCCCGATGCATCTCAGTGACACGTAGGTGCTGGGACTGCGCTAATCAAAAACGGCAACTGAATATTCTCCAACATCACGAAGGGATACTTCGGAATTCAGATTTGAGAGTAATTGATGTTGGATACGTTAATGGGAGTTTTCTACAGCTTGAATTTATGGCGCTCACAAAAACACATATAAGAGACCACCAAAACGACAGCAACATATTTCAAACCAGTGAATATCTGAGCATATCATATACCACAGAAGCCACAACACCGGCCTCACTTCAGAACAGAAAAACCCAGACCGTTTCCCCTGCCGAGTGAACAGCCCCTGCAGCATGTAGCAAGACCGCCATAACGATAGCGGTGATAGCATGACTAGCACACTGGCAACGTCGCACATTACCCGACAGTCTTCTACGTCCAACGTTGGCAAACGCCCTAACCGAAAACAGACCCCCGCATCCCCGCACCATCGTCGTACAAGGTTAACTTTCGTACGTCCAATGTTGCGGCGGAAAAAAGCTAGGCGAAAGCAGTAACCAGCGCGCTGATCTACCATTAAACGTCGTGCGTGTTCTGCCTCGCGCGCATCGGATCCCCTGTGCCACTGGTGCCTCACACACGTTCACAACAGAACCGGCGCGCCGCCTTTGTGTGTTCTTGCACCCTTGCACCCTTGTCGTGCGTGAGCAAGACGTTCGATGGTCTTCGAGTTCGCCGTCTGCGCTAGTCGAGATTAGTAGTCTACGCTCCTTGCAACTTTGAACGTCTGGCTTTCTTGTGCTGTGTTACGTATCACATTCTGCGCTTGCTGCGTCCGGAGCATCCGGGTTGCGTGGATGTTTTGTGTATACACAAAATGGTCTACTCTACGTTCGAAGATGTGGAGATAGTGCTAGTCTAAAGCGGCAACTTTAGAATTTCCAACATCAAACGTCCTTCACAATGATTGTGTAACAAAGAAACGAGCAGGGATTTTGGTTTAACATTGGAATAGCGCTATCCGAGAGCGTCAATTCAGACCACTACGTTAGTCCCAAATTAGCTGTACTATTAAAGACCGCAACCAGACATATCTTCACACAACAGTGACTAGGCTACTAAAGCCTTCATGCTCCTTCTCCAGTACACAGCGCACCTTTCTTTCAAGCATCCCAGTTGCGCCTCCGCTTGCTACATCTTGCATAAGCCGGCGCCACAACATCAATATCGACAGTGCTCGTAGTGACCCTGTTATCGGACCCCTTAAGCACGCCTCCACCGGTAATCAAGACTGTCTTCTGGTCTGGCAAAACCTTGAGCTCCCTGGTGTACGACACACCCGCAGGGGTAGCAATCTTAGTCCACGCTCCCGGAGCTCCAAGGTTGTGATTGAGGAAGATCTGGGGGTTGTTGCCATCAGAGACAGCGATAGTGCCGAGAGGGCCGCCCACATCGGCCCAGACGACGAACGGCGAGCCGCGGGGCACAGTTCCGTCCGTCGCGCGCAGGACGTTACCTTCGCTGGCGTTGAAGTTGAGCGGGTCCTGCGAGATGCGGTAGTAGACGGCGAAGTCGACTTCCTCGGCGCCGTAGAACTCATACGTCATGATGTACTGGCCCAGCGGCAACTCCACGACGACCGGCATGCCTGGTCGCCAATCGTAGGTGCTGTACGCGACGTCGTCGACTGGGTCGTCCCAGTGCAGAAGGTCGCTGGAGACTTGGTGCACCAGCTTCTGCCCATGCTTTGGGTCTCGCTGGTCAGAGTAGTACATGATGAGCTTGTCCTGGTACACCATCATATAGGGCTCCCAGATAGGCGTGAGGCCGTTGTTCGGAAGAGCCTCTCCACCCCTAGCAATGGAGGAGATGAATTTCCAAGTTTTTCTACAGGTTTATTAGCATAGTTTCGACTGCTTTTTGGGACGGTTTAATATACCCTTTATCTGTACTGGCGTAGAGGTCAATCTTGGTCTCAGACAGATCCTGGGGGATAGAGTTTCCGGCAAGCAGGATGGTGCCAGCAGAAAAGTTGCCAATTGCTTGCGGTAGCTCGTAGAGATGGGGCTGGTAACGCAGACCCCAGCCATTGACTTGGTCGTAGACGCGCGATATCTCATGCCAGTTCTCACCCAGGTCATCCGATTGGTAAATTGGAAACCAGGGCTTCTCGGGAGAGTAGTTCTCCCATGTCGCAAGTAGAACGTTGTCCTTCTCGCAATTCTGATTCAAAAGCAATGTTCTAGCATAGAGCGTCCGAGGAATGGTGTAGTTGGAGGGAGGAGCAAAAATGGTAACATTAGTAAAGGCCTGCGCCAAATGCGCGAAAACAGCAAATGCGGAGATGACGGCGGCACGCATCTTCAACGAATATAGTTCCAAAGACGCAGAGTAAAAAGAAGAGATCACCTCATAGTTTTATAGTGACAGCGGGGGATGTGCAAGCATGACGATCCGGACCTCGAATGATCAAATTTCCTCACTACCGGGGGTCAGCTCTCAAAGGAGGGGCCCCAGGTTGGCGAAGAGCTCATGTGGGGAGAATATGGGGTAGTGACATCCTCGGTACATTGACACGCGAAAGCAAGCTCCAATGAAAGTGATAGAAACCTAGTCCAATGTCCGTGTACCTGCAGGCCGTAGCGTGACATGAGGTCCGGTTCAATCGTTTGGTTTCTTGATTTCCACAAGCGGGTAAGTTCGTTGTTAGCGATGAAGAGGCGATGATAAATTCCATCAATCGGAGAGAAGTACGACCGCTCTGACAGCCGGCTTGGCATTAGCCAAAAGGCAGAGGGAGATGTAGTGAAGAGTATATGAGCCGCATGAGGCGCAGCCCGGCCAAGGCAGCGGGTGACCTCGTGAACAGGACCAAGCTCGCTGACGGGGCTTGGAAGCGGGATGCTTGCTCAATTTAGAGCAAAGAGCGACGGACACGGCAGCAGCTGAAAGTCCCGAGGTATTGATCTTTGAATTGAAAGAAACGAGTCCCCGTGCTTGTGGTACATGTAACTGCTGAGAGTCGTGTCCAGCAACCCGGTTGCTGGTTTGTGGAGGGGATGGGGGGGAGGCCAGACTGCCGATGATGCACTGACCGCCTTCGAGCGGTGGCACCCGCTGCAGCCTGATCCCATGAGGTCATCTTCACTTCGGTTCCATCCACACTTTTTCACTTTTACTGTCGTTCGTGCTTTCTCTAAGGGAAACGTGAAGAGAACTGCTTTTTAATCGCTTGGCGCACCTGATCGACCGACTTCCCTTGCTTCCTCTTTATCGACTTCCGCTACGCGCATCGGATCCGATCGTCATAGCATCTCCCACTATTGCGCATTCGCCCCATCGACTCCGCGACCCGCCTTACAGACGAACAACCTTTGCACAACTCTCGCTACAATGGCTGAGCGTCCGCAGGATGATGGCGCCGCGAGCGCAGCGGTTGAGCCCCTCAAAGAAGAGCCGGAACAACAGGAAAATACTGCGCCTGTAGACAAGGGTAAAGGTCGCGCTCAAGATACGGATGGCGATGAAGGCATGGGCATAGAAGAAGACATGGATGAAGAGGCTCGCTTGGCACTTCTTACCACTGTGCGCGACCAAGATGACCTCGAGCGCGACATTGGTAGACAAGCCGACCAGATGCTCACCGAGCGAGAAGATGAAAGGGATAACAAGCGCATACAAAAGGCCTATGCAGAGAAGCAGAGAAGTGTCGCTCAACTGAAGCGGCTCGAGGACAAACTTGCTGGTCCCGGAGGTTCCACAATCAAGAACAAAGTGCGTGCAGACATTGCGGAAATCAAAGAACGTATTGCTGGTCTCGACGAAGAAGTCCGGGTGCTCGAGAACCGTATAACTGAGAGGCACCGGACTGCTAGTGGAGACCACCCTCTTAAGATCGGCGGGAACGTCCAGCAAGCCAATGAGACTCGGCGCGACTTCCTTATCCGAACCGGCAAGATTACTCCTTTCTCCAAGATGGCTCAGGTACCAAGGATATCCTCGAGCCTAGCAGATACTATGTTTGATGCCGAAGAGGGTGAGAAAGATTTGGATGAGGCCCTGGAGCAAACACAACTAGTTGATGAGGGTCCTCGCTCACATCGTAACCTCAAGAGGCCTGGCTTTATGGATGAAGAAGAGAGCGATACAGGTGAAGCTGCACCTCCTGCGAAGCATCCTCCGAAGCGCCGTCGATTACAAAGCAAGCTGGATCGTGAAGCTGAGTCGAGTTCCGATCTTTCCAGCCCTCCTGAAGACGACTCCGACAAAGCTTTTGAACCGGATATGGATGACAAGGAGCTGGCAACCCTGGGTGAGTCCGAAGAAGGGGAGGTCGACGACATTGATGATGATGATTTCGACATAACTACACCTGGTCGCAAGCGCAAAGCGCCCCGAAAGACCAAAGGCAAGACCAAACAGGTCAAATCTGAAACTACAGAAGATGAACAGGAAGACCTTACTGGCGTCGATGATGGTAATGAACAGGTCTACCAGGCTCGCCTAAACAGCTGGGTCAAACGTCGTGGCGAAGCCCGCCGCAAGGCTAAAGCCAAGCGCGCGGCTGAAAGTGTTGATGAAACAGACAAGCCAGTGGAAGAGGAATCTACCGAAAGCAGAGAAGAGGAATGGTTTCGTCCACATCCGACTCGTCCGGATGCGACATTTGAAGGTGGATTCAAGGTCCCTGGCGACATCTATCCTTCGCTTTTCGACTATCAGAAGATCGGTGTACAATGGATGTGGGAACTGTACAGCCAAGAAGTCGGAGGTATCGTGGGTGATGAGATGGGCCTTGGGAAAACCATCCAAGTCATATCATTCCTTGCAGGCTTACATTACTCGAAAAAAATCAACAAGCCCATTATCGTGGTCTGCCCGGCCACTGTCATGAAGCAGTGGGTCAACGAATTCCATCAATGGTGGCCTCCACTTCGAGTGTCAATTTTACATTCGTCTGGAAGCGGCATGATGGATGTCAAGCGCGAGAGCCGGATCGAAGAGGAACTTGAGACACGCCAATACGACAGTTCAAGAACGAAGCTTACAAAGTCCGAGAAGGCTGCTAAGAATATTGTTGACAAGGTCAAGCGGGATGGCCATGTACTGGTCACCACTTATTCCGGTCTTCAGTCTTACGCACGGTTCCTTATCCCCACCGACTGGGAATATGCTGTTCTCGACGAAGGTCATAAAATTCGCAACCCTAACGCCGGTATAACCATCTACTGCAAGGAACTTCGTACTGCTAACCGCTTGATTCTTTCCGGTACTCCGATGCAAAACAACCTTACTGAGCTTTGGTCTCTCTTTGACTTTGTCTTTCCTATGCGTCTTGGTACGCTTGTCGACTTCCGCAACCATTTTGAGTTTCCGATTAAACAAGGTGGTTACGCAAATGCATCGACGCTCCAGATTCAGACTGCTGCGAGATGCGCAGAGACATTAAAAGAGACCATCAGTGGTTATCTCTTGCAACGCTGCAAGTCAGATGTCGCCGCTGATCTTCCAAAGAAGAGTGAACGAGTACTTTTCTGTAAGCTGACAAAAACTCAGAGGGAGGCGTATGAAGACTTTCTAGAATCACCAGAGATGAGGTCAATTATGGATGGTAGGCGCCAAGCTCTCTATGGCATCGATATCTTGCGGAAAATTTGCAATCACCCGGACCTTGTCCAACACAAAACACACCACATGAAACCGAACTATGGGAATGGCACAAAATCCGGAAAAATGCAGGTTGTCAAGGCTCTTCTTGAGATGTGGATGAAAAACGGTCATAAGACACTTCTATTCGCTCAACACCGTATAATGCTGGACATTCTAGAGAAGTTTGTCAAGAAGTTGGGAAACTTCAATTACATGCGCATGGACGGATCCACGAATATCAAGGACCGTCAAGACTTGGTTGACAAATTCAACAACGACCCAAATCAGCACGTCTTCTTGCTGACAACAAAAGTCGGTGGTCTTGGAGTTAACCTCACTGGTGCTGATCGCGTTCTTATTTACGATCCTGATTGGAACCCATCCACTGATGTACAAGCTCGTGAGCGTGCTTGGCGCCTTGGTCAAAAGCGCGAGGTTGAAATATACCGCCTGATGACCGCCGGCACGATCGAAGAAAAGATATACCATCGTCAGATCTTCAAGCAGTTCCTGACGAACAAGATCCTGCGCGACCCTACACAGCGGCAGACATTCCAGCTGAAGGATCTCCACGATCTCTTCACGCTCGGTGACGCTGAAAACGGCGAAACGGAAACAGGCACACTCTTCAAGGGCACCGAAACACGTTTCGATCAGGAGGGCGAGCAGCAGTCTTCAGAAACGACCGAACACATAACTAACATTACCGGCATCTCGCGCGACGAAGCCTACCGCACCTCCGCAGACGAAGCTGCTCCCCCCAATGACGGCACAGCCAACCAAACAGCCGAAGGAGCCAAAGATGACCGCCTTCTCAACACCATTTTCGCGCGCTCTGGTGTCCACGCCGCCGTGTCCCATGACACCATCATTGGCAGCAACTCCCGCAAGCCCAAAGTCGTTGCCGACCCGGAAATCATCGCCAGGGAGGCACGCCGTGTCGCTGCCGAGGCAGCACGCGAGCTGCAGCGGTCAGGAGAAGCGGCGAGAGCCGTCCCTATTGGCACGCCTACTTGGACTGGCATCGTCGGCACTGCTGGTCGTCCTGAGGAGCAGGTACGCCCGCGCAGCGCCCTCGCCAGCCGCAGAGGCGGCCTTGGCGCCGGCCGAGGCGGACGTGGCGGCGCTGGGCCATCCTCATCTTCGGTGCTGGCGAACCTGGCGGCGCGGCAGGGAGGCGGCGGTAGGCGCGGGACGCCGCTCTCATCGGCTCCCTCGCGTGACTCTCCATCTGTTTCTCGGCCTGCAGCTGAAGGCGCGGAATTTTTGGAGGCAATCAAGAACTTCTTGCGCGTGAATGGGGGCATGCGGTCGACGCAGGAGCTGGTCAACCATTTCAGCCGCCTCTGCGATACTGCACAACGGGTGGCGAACTTCAAGGAGATTCTAAAGGAGATTGCGATATTGAATCGGGGGTCGGGGAGTCGTGGAAGGGGAAAGTGGGTGCTCAGAGAGGAGTACAGGTAGGATCACAGGAGAACGTAGGGCGTTGTGATTGACGAGTGACTAGTGGTGAGAGATTGAGGGATACCCCATGAGCGGCGTGGTGCGCAGCCGGTTTGGCCTGGGTTGGGTTTTGTCATTGTGTACATTTTTTACTTCCCTCCCTTTTTGTTTTCTTTCTTGCTTTTCAGGAGCAATCTCTTGCCTTTATTTTTCATGCGATGCGGTCTCATTGCCCCCTCTCATCGTCCTCTTTGGACAGAGTTAATAACCGCACTATCAGGATATGGGCGGGCCTGTTTGTTTGCATACACACAGGCGTAGACAGATGCTTAAGAAGGAGCAACTGCGGTGTAGTGTACTGAGCTACACATGGTATACCATAGACTGATAGACTGATAATAAGAAATTGATCAATATCACGGCCGGAGAGAGTGAGCTTGACGGGTAGAGAAATAAATGCAGCATATTGTGGGGGAGGTGGTCTGGACGGGTATGGCTTGGTAGTTGATGTCTATTTTATATAGCTCTGGTGCTGCTTGAATGCTTGGCTGTCGGATGGTTTGATATTTGTTGGAAGGCTCGAGTTAATTCCCCCCCAATATCTGCTATTT